TACCTCGTGTGGCACCCTCGGGTTGTGACTCCCACCTGCCCTCCAGCACTTAACCCAGGCTCTCTCAGACTTTTGCCAAGGTCAGGAACCTTCTGGAGAAAAGAACTGCAGGTGAAACACAGAACCTGAAGATTTCCTTCAAGGATGAAGGCGCTATGGAAGATGGTAGGAGAGCACAGTGGCGACATGTCCCACAGACTGTCCCAGCCCCTGCCCCCTGGGATTTTTGGGAGTCCTTGTCTGTCTCCCACTGACCCAGCAGACACCAACCATGAATTGCTTCCAGGTCTTGAGGCTGACCTTGGCTGTTCCCAAGGCTGCAGTCATGGGTGGTGGTTTCAGGCAGGGATGTGGGAGAGCGAAGGCACGCGGTGGCACGATGAGCACCAAGCCACTGCAGGAACAAGGGGAGATGCTGTGGGGCAGGAGGGAACACCCTCATCTTCAAAATCACCTGCTTGTGAAGGAAAATCAGTGCTCGGTCCTGCCTGTGGATGTTCCTCAAAGAGGCAAAGAGCTTTTGGCAGCTCAGCACCTTTCCTTATCAAAGCAGGAGCTGTGCCCAGCACACTGCAGCTCCAGACCTTCACAGGAATCCCAGCGGCGCTGCAGATGAGCCGCAGTGGTGGCATCAGCAGGTCCCACGGGTCACCCTGGGATGCCGGGCTGGAAAAGCCCACAAGGACTCCCCCGGATCCCACGAGCCCAACAAAATGTGCCAGCTGTCCCAGGGACACGGGCACAGCAGAGCCTCCAGCCCCTCCTCTCCACTGTCCCCTCCAGACACCTTGGACTTTGACGATGAAGACCATGACTACGTCCCCAGCCGGGAGGACATCAAGAAGCAGGGGCTGCAGCTGATCAGAATGAAAACCAGACGTCGCAAGAAGAAGTAGTGGTTTCTCCACACGAGCTTTGAGGTTCCCAGGCCACCCTTTGTACCCTTTTCCCAGCAGGTTTAATAAATCTGATCTTCTTCATTCCTCTCAGTTCTGTGCTGAGGCTGGAACAGGTGGTCCTGGGTAATTTCTGTCACTCAGAACATGCTGGGGTCCATCCTGAGGGGTTCTGAGCTGGCTTTGGAAGTGGGGATGGGCTGGGTTAGGAACAGCTTCAGCCCCTGGAGCAAAGGTGGGGCCTGCCTGGCTTTCTCCCCCTTGGTGCTGCGGAGCCAACCCCTTCACAGGACCTCTGATGTCCCAGGAGTGGGTGATGGGGAGATGTGGGGAATGGCTGAGCCCTGTGGGGCCCTCAGGGTGGTGTCCTCACGTCCATGCATGGAAGGGCAGAGACTACTGGGATAGAGAGACCCAAAGCTGAGCTGAGCCCCAGCCCGGAGCCTCTCCCCTCCCTGCTCCTGCAGCTCCTGCCCTGGCCTTGGAGCGAGCCCCAGGTGTCACCTGAGGGCTGCAGGAGGCTCTGGTGGTCAGGAATGTCCTGGTGTGAGCCAGAACAGCACAGGCTGCTGCTCCAGGGGGGATCCCCTGTCCTGCTGAGGGGCACAGCCCCCGAGGCCACCCTGTCCCCTCTCCTCTGGTGCTGCAAATAGATGGTGCTGTTTGTCCAAGAACAGCCGGCACCGAGGGGCTCTGCCTGGACACAGCCAGGACAGGGACCCCTTGTCCCCTTGCACAGGGCAATCTCGGTGTCAGAGCAGCCTTTCCCTGCCCGTTCTGCTCGGCCCCTGTGCCCCGTGCTGGCATCACCAATGATATCACCCCCGAGGGGGGGCTGCTGCTCCCCAGCCTCTCAGCACCGCTCCTGCTGGGTCTCGTGGGAGGGGCATCATCTTCACAACATACAGCACAACCTGAGGTTTTTCAGGGAAACTCCAGAAATAACATCACGTGTCAGTAAAGGCTTCTCATGGAGCTTCCCAGAATCCACAGCCACAGGTGGGCTCCTCTGCAAGTGAAGACCAGGCTGCAATTGCATTTCCATCTGCTCATGTCGTGTTCTTGTGTGCCCAGCACAGCCTCACCACCCTCACAGGGAAGGGTTTCTTCCCAATATCCCTGCCAATATCTATCTTCCCAATATCCCTGCCAATATCTATCTTCCCAATCTCCCATCCAGCCCTGCCCTCTGGCACTGGGAGCCATTCCCTGTGTCCTGTCCCTCCATCCCTTGTCCCCAGTTCCTCTCCAGCTCTCCTGGAGCCCCTTCAGGCCCTGAGGTCTCCTGGAGCGTTCTCCATGTGAACACCCCCAGCTCTCCCACCTGAGAAATGTGTCAAGCTCTTGCTCTGGCCTTTCTACTCTGGCTGTGGGGAACAGGGAAGGAGGAAAAGGTGGAAGAGCTGGAGCTGGCTGGAGGCTCCAGCCTGTGGCCCATTTTCAATAATAATTCAATAATTCAATAATTCAACTGCCTTTATGTGAGGGGCAGAGCAGCAAGGGGGTTTCACCTCTCTGAGCTCCTCCTGCCCTGAGCAGGGGATCCAAGGGCTACCTGCTCCATCAGGAGCATCCACTGGATGTGTTCAGACACCGCATCCCAAACCCTGATCACAGCTGCCAGGAGAGGGGAAGAGCTGTCACCCCCAGCCAGCAGCTCCCAGGCACACAGACAGAGCTGGGTGCAATCAGAATGACTGCTCCTGGCTCCCCTGGATCCGGGAGAGAGCTGGGTGCAATTGGAATGACTGCTCCTGGATCCAGGAGAGACAGAGCCAGGCACAATTGGAATGACTGCTCCTGGCTCCCCTGGATCCGGGAGAGACAGAGCTGGGAATGGATGTGACAAGTGGAGAAGAGGTACGAGGTGAGGGGGAAGAGCTGGAGGCAGTGCCTTGGTTTCTGGATTTGAAAAGATGGGATGAGGTGGGGCTGCAGGGGCTCTCCCGTAAGGGAAAATATGAATTATATAAAGAACAAATGAATAAGTAAGGAAGAGAAAGGGAAAAGGGAAAGGGAAACAACAGGACTGATGCCACCTGCAGTCTCATTAGGTGTCAGGTGTGGGTGGCACAGCCCAGGGAAGGGGATGAGAGATTTCCTTTTCTGCCCCAAAAAACCTTTACTCCCTTCCTCCGAGCTCGGCTGGAGCTCCAGCACAGATGCTGCAACCAGTGCCAGGACTGGTGAGAAACCAAAAATAGGACATTGGGGAATTGCATGGAAGCATTTGCCATGTGGAAATATCAATCTCTGCCTTGGGAAGGCTGGGTTTGAGTGGGTTTGGGGCATTTTATTTTTAAAGGTGTGATGAAAATCACATGGAATGGATTGCAGGGAAGGGTGAGCACAGCTGGGGCTGTCACTGGAGCTTCAGTGCTGGGTTTTATCCCCTGGAAAAAGGGGAAAAGGGGAAATCAGCCAGTCTGGGGCCAAAAGCAGAGGCTCTATTGGCTCTTCTGGGGAGGGAGAATCACCCAGGGGATCCTTTGTGGAGCTGCAGTGGTGGGATGATTTCTGTATCCCAGCCCTTGGGCCGAGAGCTGCTCCCAGCCAAGGAAGCACCAACATTTTCCATTCCCTTGTTGCTAAGAGGGTTCATGGTGGGATGGGGGGTCTGGCCTGGAGAAGAGCAGGAATTGGCATCAGTCACAGTGGGGCTCAGCACCCTGGGCCAAGCAAGGTGGGGCTGAGGCAGTGCTGGTAAAGGAGGGAAGGAGCACAAGGACGTGGGGTCCATGCTCTGGCCCTCAGCAAGGGGAGCAGTGGCTGCAGCAGAGCGCTGAGGGGCTGGCAGGTCCCAGGAGGCAGCTTTCCTCCACAGCAGAGACCATGGACCACCTCAGACCACTTTGGTCTCTCCTCTGGGCCTGCTCCACCAGCTCCATGGCTGTGCTGGGATGGACACAGCTCCAGAGGGGTCTCAGGAGAGCAGAGCAGAGGGGGAGCATCCCCTCCTTCCCCTCCCACCCACCCTGCTGGGATGAGCCCAAGCTTCCTGGACTTGGCTTCCGGGACTGCAGTGCCCATGGCCAGGTCATGTTCTGTTTGTAACCCACCAGAACCTCCAGTTCTCCTCCACAGGGTGCCATCCATCCATCCACCCATCCACCCATCCATCCATCCATCCATCCATCCATCATCCATCCATCATCCATCCATCCATCATCCATCATCCATCCATCCATCCATCCATCATCCATCCTTCATCCATCCATCCATCATCCATCCATCATCCATCCTTCATCCATCATCCATCATCCATCCATCCATCATCCATCATCCATCCATCCATCATCCATCCATCATCCATCATCCATCCATCATCCATCATCCATCCATCATCCATCCATCCATCATCCATCCATCCCAGAGCTCAATCCCAAGGGGCTCTTTCACCACACCCCATGCTGGGCTGTGAGTGCAGCACAACCCCTCAAGATCCATTTTGAGCCTTTTCCAAGGGAACAGGAACCGGGATCAGGAGGTCACAGGGCGGGGCATCACTGGCCTCAGAACGTGGGTGCCCAGGGCTGAAGGATGGTCAGGAGTGTGGGGTGGTCAGGAGTGTGGGATGGTCAGGGCTGAGGGATGGTCAGGAGTGTGGGATGGTCAGGAGTGTGGGATCGTCAGGGCTGAAGGATGGTCAGGAGTGTGGGATGGTCAGGAGTGTGGGATGGTCAGGAGTGTGGGATGGTCAGGAGTGTGGGATGGTCAGGAGTGTGGGGTGGTCAGGGCTGAGGGATGGTCAGGGCTGAGGGATGGTCAGGAGTGTGGGATGGTCAGGGCTGAGGGATGGTCAGGAGTGTGGGATGGTCAGGAGTGTGGGATGGTCAGGAGTGTGGGATGCCCATTTGGGATTTCATGTGGGATTCCATTTGGTGGAAGCCACAAGGGGTTGCAGACAAGCTGGGTCAGCCATATTTATTGAGAACAGTTGTGGAGGGATAAAAATATTTCCACTACTCTATAAGAATTTATAAACCTATACTCTCTGATCCGTTAATAAACTCCTCTAGGACCATCATGCCAGGGGAGGGGCTTCTGTAAGAAAATAGCGAGATTAAAAAAAGGAAAGCGCTAAATATTCCCTGCGGGGCCCTGCCCGGGGGGCCCTGCCCACGGGAACACGGTGGGCACGGCCCGGGGGCTGCCCTGGCACCCTGCAGCCCCCAGCTGGGCACAGCCCCTGCCAGCCACGCCCCACCCGGGACCCGGCCTCGGGGGACCGTGATGGGGACAGGACACATCCCCACGGCAGAGAGCTCCCAGTGCTGCTCCCACTCATCCCAGTGCTCCCAGTCCTGCCTGCATCCTCACCAGCCCCTCTGGCCTTTCCCACAGCCAGGGGGGGCTTGGATCCACCTCCCCAGGGGTGCTGCGAGAGGTGGACATCATCCCAGGGGACACAGGGACATTACACAGAGCCCTGCAGGGTGGTGACATGGCTGGGGACATCCCGGGGGACACAGGGATGCAACATAGCTCTGTGGGAAAGCAACACAGATGGGGGCAGTCTGGGGGGGACAAGCTGCAGTGCTCTGTAGGGCAGCAACACCAACCAGGACAGGCTGGGGACCATGGGGACACCATGGGGACACCATGGGGACACCATGGGGACATGGGGACACCATGGGGACACACAGCACTGCTTTGCTGGGAAGCAGCACAGACGAGGACATCCTTGGAGAGCACGCAGGGCTGCTGTGCCAAGGAGCAGCAGGGACAGGGACATCCTGGGACACGGGGACACCACAGACAAGCAAGAGGCAGCAGGGGCCAGAATTCCAGCCGGGGCCGGTGCTGTTGCCATGGGGTGAGAGGTGCCACGGGCACAGGACACTCATTATTGCTTTACAGGGCCAACATCACGGCGGGCCGGGGTGCCCAGCCTCTGATTTGGGGTTCAAGGGGTTTTCCCTGGGGACACTGATTCCCATTGCTCCCCATGCCAGAGCCCTGCTGTCACTCAGTGGGGACAGGGTGAGGACACAGGGCTGGACACTGACAGCTTCAGTCCCCCTGCACTGGTGCTGGCACGGAGCAGGATGGTGGCTGTCCCTCTGTCCCCTGTGGTCCCCAGGAGCCGAGGCCAGGGGAACAGCCCTGTCCCCCAGAGAGGGGCAGTGCCTTTCCTTTCCTCCCCTCTCAGGCCAGGGCCAAGCTGAGCATAAAGGCTGTAAGCAGGGAGCCCGGGGTGACACGGGGACAAGGGACACACTGTGGGGACCAGGCTGGCCAGGGCCCTCCCCAGAGCTGTGGAGAAATGGGAAACCAAAGCTCGGGGAACCAAGCTCTTCCCAGTGAGGGCAGGGGACCCCGGCTTGGATGCTCTGTCCCCTCGCTGTCCCTTCGTGTCCCCTCGTGTCCCCGCGGGCACTGGGCTGTTGGATAAGGCGATGCCACAGCTTAAGGTGGTGGGTGGGTGTTGGTACCGAGTCTGGCAGCGGGGCCGGGCGGGTGGAGCGTGATGTAAACATTTCTGATCAGGGCCAGGAGGAGGAGGAGGAGGAGGGACGGGCTAGTGCGAGTCCTTCATCTGCTTCTGGATCTTCTGGAGCATCTCCTGCATCCGCCGCAGCTGGAAGGGAGCAGAGCCGGGATCGCGGATGGTGCCAAGCCCCAGTCACACACCTCCCGTGCAAATGGGGCTCGGGCTGAGCATCCCGGACAAACCGGGATGGCCAGGAGCTGGGGCGGGGGGAACGGGTACCCCTGGATGCAGCTCCAGCCCCTGCTCGTTGGGATGCTGCAGGAAGGGTGTGCTATCACACACAGCCGGGGCTGGAGGGAGCGGGGCTGGGGGCTCAGCCCGCCCCACACTCACCTCCTCATCCTTCTCCCGGATTAGCTTCTCCGTCTCCATGTCCGGCACTGGGGGGATCACGGGGATGGGGAAGTCTGTCCCGCTCTCCCGGGTCAGCTTGCTGTGGGCAGAGAGAGGAGGTAAGGGTGCCGGGGATATTCCCCCGTGGATGGCCCGAGCCCTGCAGGCCCCCAGCACCCCCTGCACAGCCCCTGGGCCCTATGACCACCACCAGAGCGGCTTTTCCCTGGCAAGGGAGATGCGAGCAGTTCCAGGCACCCTCAACCTGCCATGCACCAGCCAAGGGGGGACCCACGCCCTCCCGTTTTGGGGAGAATCCCACTGGGGTTGGGCTTTCCTGGGCCAGTATTTGCCCTGCTGCTTTAAAACACCAAAACCTCGGCATTTCCCCTCTGTCCCCCTGCCTCAGGACGAGCTCTCCAGGCGTTCCCTGCCCTGCGAGCCCCGGGCATGCTGCACCCCCTTTTCCCGAGCTCTGCCCCCATTCGAGGCCATTCGTGCTGGGGAGAGCCGCGAGCATCCCCCGGAGCCCCGGGCACGGCGCAGGTCGATGGCAGCTCCGTGCCCGCGGCCCTGGGAGGAACCAGCTCTGCGGGTCCCTGCGGATGCCACGGCACCCCAGCGGGTGACAGGGCCGGGACAGCGCCAGGCCCCGCGGGGACACGAGTGCTGCCCCGTGCCGCGGCCAGCACGTGATCCCTGACAGCCCATCCATCGCCCCCAGCCCATCCATCCCTGACAGCCCATCCTGACAGCCCATCCATCGCCCCCAGCCCATCCATCTCTCCCAGCCCATCCATCCCTCCCAGCCCTGCCCTGTCCCGCCGTGCCGGGCTTTGGGAGCCGCTCCGGGAGGTCAGAGCTGCTTCTCTCGGCTCTGACCGTGGGGGAAGCACGTGGAGCTCCTGCCAGCCCTGGCAGCCACACCAGGCTGGAGCCGGGCACCAGCAATGGGGTGAGCAGCAGAGGCTCTCAGCACCCCAAAACCGCATCCCCAGGAGGGCAGCACGACCCCTTCCCTTGGGCAGCCTTGGGGGCTCAGTGCCACCAAACAGTGACATCCTCCAAACCTGGCTGAGCCGGGGTGACCCGGGGTGGCACACGGTGTCCTTTGACACCCAAAGGGGAACCTGTGTGGGACACTAGTGGGTGGCCACAGGGCCGGAGTGGGTGGCCACGGGGCTGGCTCGCCCCGGGGGCGGCTGCCTGGCCCTTGCACAGGCACAGAAGGACCAAGACAGCGTTGGGTACCAACAAACACTTTATAGAGGGGCCGGGGGCGGCAGGGGGGGCAGGTCCCGGCTCAGTCGGCAGAGCAGTCCCCGCAGCACAGCCTCAGCACGGAGGGATGGCTCCTGGCCCGGGGCACACAGGGACAGACGCTCAGAGGTGCCTGGAGAGGTGCCTACAGCCACAGGCAGCCCCCCAGAGCACGGCTCCAGCCCCTCGGGACCCACAGAGCCTCCACTCACTCCCACACTGCTCCGACCCCCGACTGGAGGGTCCCACCCGGGACCCTGCCTAGGGGAGCTGCCCCAGCGCCTCGGGGTGGCTAAAGGGGATTTGGGGGCCTTTAATTCGGCTGATCCACGAGCAGAGCCCCAGCATCGGCTTTTGCTGGGCTCCTGCTGTGGCACCTGAGCCCGCAGGGATGCAAGGGCCCCCTCCGTGTTGGGGCATCCCCCAGACACACCCAGCTCAGAGGGGACACAGGGTCCCCCTCACTGCTGGAACACCCCTCAAACCAACCCCGGCTCCAGGGAGGTGCAGGGTCCCCCTCTGGTGAGCGCCCCCAGCCACCCCGGGGTCACAGGGTGCCCCTCACTGCTGGAGCACCCCCAGGCACTCCCAGCCCAGGGGCACAGGAAGGACCCCCCAGCCCAGCGGGGCTCCCCAGCTCGGAGCCTGGCACAGCCCTGAGCCGCTCGCGGTGCGCGGGGTCACCCCAAGGCGAGGAACCCCCGCCCCAGCCCGGCCCCAGCCCGGCCCCAGCCCGGCCCCAGCCCCGCCCGTACTTGCGGTTGCGCTCCTTGACCACCATGCGGGTCATGCTCTGGATGCACTGCGTGCGGTAATTCTCGTAGTGCGTCTCCCGGGTCACGTCCTTCAGGTCCTGCATGTGCGTCCTCACCAGCATCGTGCGCAGCTTCACGAAGTCGCAGTGGGACGGGTTCTCCACTGCGGGGGAGCCGGGGTCAGGGGGCCACGGGGTCCGGGGGCTGCCGGGGGACGCCGTGTTCCCGTCCCCAGCCTTACCTTCCACGATGCCCCAGGGGTAGAGGCGCCCTCGGACGCGCCGGCCCTTGGCCTCCACCACCGTGTTGCTGCCGATGACGGCGAAGGGGATGCTCTCCTGCAAGGGCGGGGGGGGGTGAGCAGAGCCCTGCCGTGACCCCCCCCCGCCAGGACCCACATCCCTCCGCGTGTCCTCCTCGCTGTGTCCAGCACCCGTTGGCCAAGATACCCCAAAGGCCCAGCTGTGGAGAGCCCCAGTGGGACAGCGGAGGTCGTGGCATGGGTTTCTCCACCCAAGCTCCATCCCAAGCTGCAGGTGTCACCCATGGGACCTTGGTGACGTGTCTGGGTAGTGAGACATGTGCCAGCCCGTCCATGCTGGAGAGCTTCTGTGGCCCCAAGGGTCCTGCAGGTTCCCTAGGGTGACGTGTCCTCCCAGCCATGGGGCTCTGCCCCTCCAGTGATGGAGCTGGAGGAGCCAGACCCACCTTCAGTGCCTGGTCCTGCAGCTTGAACTCCTCATCCTCATCCGAGTCGCACTCAGGGAATTGGTAGATGCGGATTCCGTAGTGGTCGATCTCCTCCCGGATCTGAGGGCGTGGGAGGCACCACACAGGGCCAATGGCCCCTAAAAGCCTGTTCCCCCCACACCAGATGTCATGGACACCCCCCATCCTTCCAGCCCTCAGCTGATCCCCTGGCAGACGTGTCCTTGGTGGCCATGGGGACAACATGGTCCTCTACAGTGCTGCGAGCCTGGAAAACGCTCCAGGGCAAATTCCAGGCAGGAGATGGATGGACACCCAGGGCACCCCCGTGCCCAGGGACCTGCTGGGACAGCTCTCCTCACCTTATTCTTCATGCGCTCCACCTCGGCGGGGGTCAGGGTGTCAGCTTTGGCCAGCACGGGCACGATGTTCACGCGCTGGTGCAGGGCTCTCATGAACTCCACATCCAGGGGCCGCAGCCTGCGGGGGGAGCGGGGTGAGCCCTGTCCCTCTGAGCCCCTGGCCAGCCCCTGGCAGCGCGGCCAGGGCCCGTACCCGTGGCCGAAGGGTGAGATGAAGTAGATGCAGCAGTGCACTCGGTTGTCCTGGATGTTTTTCCGGTTGAGGCCGCTTTCGTCACGGAAATACTGCTCGAACTGCTGGTCGATGTAGTCAGCCACCGGCTTCCAGCTGCAGGGACAGCGAGGTGACACCGAGTCCTCTGGGGACCCCCAGCTCAACGCCTCCCACGGCTCGGCACCTAAGCCCAGTGAACCATGGGCATCCCACCCACCACGGGGTGCCCGCCCTGGGGAGACCCCTGCCCCATGGCACTCACCATCCCACCCCCTGGGGACAGTCCCCACCCCATGGCACTCACCACTCGGTGTTGTTGACGGCGTCCCCAAAGCCCGGCGTGTCCACGATGGTCAGGCGCAGCTTGACCCCCTTCTCCTCGATGTCCACCACGTGCTTGGTGATCTCCACTGTCTGCGTGATGCGCTCTGTGGGGAGGGACGCGTTACCGGGGGGCACCAGGAAGGGTGGAGGTGACGTGGGGACATGCTGTGACCCCCGGGTGTCATCCCTCACCCTGGGGGCTGGGTGACCCAGCTGGAGCAGCCCTGCCACACGCCTTGCTCCAGCCCAGGAGGGGATGCTCCATGCTCTGGTCCCCGTGTACATCCCCATGGATGTCCACCCGTCCCATGGGGTGCCACGGCCACCCCAGGACCCCAGCTCAGCTCAGGGCCCTGCTGGGGCTGGGTCTTGCTGCAGGAGCATTTCAGGTGACCCCACAGCTCCAGCCTGCATGTGCCCCTTCACCCCAGGACCCTCCATGTCCCTGCAGCCCTGAGGATGCTCCTGCTGCGTTATGTGTTTTGGCTTTCACTCCAAGCAGCAGAAACAAATAAAAAAACACAAACTCGAACTCCTGGGGATTTGGGCAAGTTTGGGCCATTTTTATTCAAAAACTGGCTGCAGCTGAACTGGCACTGTGCCCCAAGCCTTGACTGTCCCCAGCCTCCCAGAAATGCTGCAGCTCCAGCCAATCCCCAACAAGCCAGGGCTTGTTTTCCCTGTGGAAATAAAGTCCCCATGGGGGGTTCCCATCCCGGGCAGGGGGCTCACCACTGCGAGCAGCTGGCAACACAGCACGTGTTGTTCCAGGGGAGCCCGGCTGGGCAGGGAGAGGGGCTGCAGCCCTCAGGAGCATCCCTGGGCTCTGCCACTGCCCAGGTCCCCCAGGACACCCATCTGGGCTAGGAGTGCCCCCCTGACCTTCAGCGTTGAGCAGCTTGCGGTCCCTGTACATGTCCGTCAGGAAGAGGCTGTTGACCAGGGTGGATTTGCCCAGCCCGGATTCCCCTGAGAAAGCAGGACAAAGATGAGGGGGGCAGCCACTGTTCCCCCGTCCCCAGTCCAGGGTGTTTGGGATCCAGAGTGGGGTCAGCGCCCCCAGGCCGGCTGGACCCCCGTACCTGCCACCATGAGGGTGAAGTCGAAGCCCTTCTTCACCGACTTGCGATGCACCTGGTTGGGCAGCGTGGCAAAGCCCACGTACTCCTTGTCATCCTGCAGAGGGCAGAGGGGACATGGGACAGGGTCACCACCAGCCCACCTCCCACCCTGGAAACTCCCCCCTTAATCCCGCAAAGGGATTCCCAGGGCTGGAGTTCCAAGGGGTGAGGCCGTGCCTGCCCAAACCTTTGCGTTCACAAGATGGGAACGTCCTCAGTCCCTCAGCCCCTCGCCCCACGTGTGTGTCCCCCCTCCCCACGGACACATCCCGCACCTCGGAGGAGTCGTAGGGGTCCAGCTGCCCCCAGGGGCTCCGCGGGCGGTTGGGGCTGGGGGGTGGGGGGGCGGCGATGTGCTGCTGGAAATCCGAGGGCCGGGAGCGGGAGAAGATCCTGCTGTCCCTGTCGTCACTGTCTTCGTCTGGGGGGACCCTGGCCACACTGCCCAGGGGGTGGCCAGGCTCCCGCCGGCTCTCGGCAGCCTCCACCTTCCTGGAGCTGTCAGCTGGCGGGCAGTCCCGGAGGAACTGGGTCAGCTCAGCCTCGTCCGAGTCCTCCTTCAGGAAACGCTTTATCTGGGGACCAAGAGAGGAGGTGACAGTGGTGGTGGCAATGCCAGCCCCGAGATGGCACCGCCCGGCTCAGCCTCGCAAGCCCCCGAGCCGCAGCAGCCAGACACATGCAGCCTAAAGGTGGCAGGGATGGGAGAAGAGACGGGACACGGCCACCCCAGGGGACCAGCCACCACCCTGGGGACAGCCTCGGGGATGGCAGTGGGGACAGCCGTGGTTCCTCGCAGCTCGGGCGCTTACGACTTGCGGCGTGGGGACGGCAGCCAGCTCCTGGCACTCCGGGGCACAGGGGTGGGCACCTTCCCCCTGGGCACCCCGCCGCTCCTCGGGGTCTTCTGGGGCAGCCAGGACCCCCCCGCGCCCCATGGCCTGCCAGGAGGACAGGGAGGGGGCCGGGACGAAGCACAGACACCAAGAAGAGATGAAGAGCAGTTGGGGGGTGACCTGAGCTGGGCAGCAGCCAGGGGAAGGCAGATGGTGGGCAGGGGTCCCCAGATGCCCGTGCCGCCTCCCGCTGCCCGTTCACAGGGTGTCATCACGGGCCATGGGGGCTCCCCTCAGTCCCAGGAGACAGCCAGGGCCGGGGACCCGGCCGAGGACCCCGACACCTCCCGGCAGGGGCCGGGGACGGCAGGCACAGCTGCCCCCGAGCACCAGCGGGGTGGCGGGGCTGGGACCAGGGTCGGGGCCGCCGGGGTTGGGATGGCTCCACATCCTGTTTACAAGAGTTCGAGGAGACGCGTTCCTAAGGGCACGTCAGGCAGCGGCTCCCGTGGTACCAAGCCCTGCTCTCAGCAGGGTCCCCAAGGTCCCAAGGCAACCGCCAGGCGACCCCAGCCCCACGGGCAGTGAGACCCCAAAGGAGAGGGGCCGGGGGAGCCCGTGACCCTGCAGGCTCGCAGCTCGGGTCAGTGTCCCCCCATCCGGGGGCTCGAGGCGACATCCCTCCTTGGGGACATGGGGACACGTGTCCTCCCTCCCCTGCGCCGTGTCCCCCGCTCGCTGCCGGCCGAGATGCGCGGAATTAACGGGCTGGAAACAAGGTCACGGCGCTGCCGGGGCTGAGCGCTCGCACTCCCGGCCCCGCTCCCGCCGCTGCCCCGCGGCCACCGGCACCGGCACCACGGGGCCAGGCTGGGGGACAGCTGGGGGACAGCTGGGGGACAGCTGAGGGACCCCCGTGCTCCCCTCTGCCCCAGCGGTCCTGAGTGTTCGGTGCTCTGTGTGACCGCAGCATCCTCTTCCTCACCGCCCTTGACCGGGGGGACCTCGGGGCCAGCCCCCAGCGCAGCACAGCCCGGCCGGGGACACCCGGGGATGGGAGGTGATGCCACCACCAGCGGCCAGCGCTTCCAGCCCTGCTGCCGCTCCGTTCCTCCAGCATTTTGGGGCTCGCCCTCGTCCCCCACCCCCGGCGAAGCCAATGACCTCGGCAGCGCCGCGGCACCGAGGTTTGCGTCGCATCCCTGGGGGTCCTGCAGCAAGTGCAGCCCCCGACAAGGCTGTCCCAGGGACGGAGGGTCAGCTGTGGCAGCTGATCCACAGAACCGGGATGCTCCGTGCCCCCCACCCCCTCTGCCCCCTCTGTGGCCCCGCCGGGGACGGGCGCTGCCCCCGTACCTCTTGCCCAGGCTGCAGCTCGGGGCAGGTGGCCATGGCACAGCCGGTGTCGCCCGTGGCCAGCAGAAGATGCCGAGTGGCACCGGCTGTGCCGAGGGCTGGGGAGCAGCATTAGCATAACTCCACCCTGGGCAGGCTCCGTGCAGGGCGCCCGCGGCACCCAGCAGCCAGGCACGGCCCCCTCGAGGGGCACGGGAGGGGACAGGGATCCCCGGGCAGAGCCAAGCCCAGCTCCCATCTCCCGGCTGTGGAGATTTCAAGGATCAGCCATCATTGCTCAGGAAGGTCCTGGGGGGGCTGCAGGACCACCACCATCAGCAGCAGCACCACCAGCACCCCTGGCCTGAACACACAGCTTGGCTACAGCCCAGGAGGACACTCAGTCCTTGGAAACACCTCTGTCCCAGGACAAAAACCATCCTGGGACAAAACTCCCTCTGTCCCGGGACTGAATGCCCCTCCAACCCAGCGCACACCACGTCTACTCCCGATGTTCACCTGGAGCATCCCCCAGCAGGGCTCCAGAGCCTCTTTGAGGTCAGAAATGCAGTTTTCCCACACTTTTGCACCTGTCAAAGCTTCCCCACTTGGCTCCAAGCTTTTGCTCGAGCTGGGCCTGGCTGGGAAGGACCCAGCCCTGGACTGGGAGAAGCAGGGACGCTGCCCACCACAGGGATCCCAGGCAGAAGCTCCAGCATTCCCTCCCCGGCTTTCCCGGCTCATCCCCGGGAGGCGAAGGGTTAACAGTGCCCCAGGAGGAGCCGTGGGTGGTGGCCAGGGTTCCCCAGCTGTCACTTCGAGGTCACCAGGGACGGTGATTCACCTCGATGCGTGTCGAGATGCATCAGAGCAGCTCAGGCGCGATCCAGGGTCGCTCGGCCGCTTTCCAAGCGTCCCGGGCTCGGAAATCCCGGGCAGGAGCGGGGATTGACGGAGCGAGAGCCCGGGGCTGTGCCGGTGCCCCGGTAAGCAGATTACACACGTGGCTGGGTGAGTGCCCTCACAGCCGGGCTGTCAGCGGCCCCAGCGAGGCACCACACGCGCTGTCACTGCGCATCGCACCGTCCCCTCCCGGGGACAGCCCGGGGATGCAGCGCGGGGGGACACGGGGGCAGCGGGCAAAGCTTGACCTCGGAAAGGCACCGGCTGCCCCGAGCATCGTTCCGCGGGTACCGCATTGCCACGGGAGGTGTTCTCCCAGCCTGCTTCTGCAGGGAAAGGACGGGAACGTCCCGGCGAGGTGTTGTCTCTCTCGCCTGCCTGACAGAGGCGTTCCCAAGCCCTCTAAAGGTGACAGCCACGATGCCACCCTCGGCACAGCCGCTGTGTCACTGTGGCTGAGCATCCCAGGCACAAACGCTGTGCCAAAGGCACGAACTCCCGGCAGGACGAGCCCACAGCGAAGCCGAGCACTGCCAGGACCAGGCCAGCTCGTTCCCAGGGATACAGGACCTGGGCTGTGCCTGCTCGGCCCCGCCTCTGGATGAACGGGATGCTCCGGCCAGAGAATCAGGGTACCCCCAGCTCTGCCACCCCACCCATCAGCAGCATTCCAGATGGGAAACTGAGTCTGCCGGCAGCTCCAAGAGGAGCAGGCTACTGGGTGGGAGGCAGGCTGTGGTGTGGGTCCCTGCTCTGGGCAGGGGACAGGCAGCTGAGCACGGGGGATGAGAGCCACAGCCAACAGTGCAGCAGCTCCAGTCCCTCTCCCGCAGGGAATTCTCCAGCTTGAAGCACCTGAATGGGGAGCCCAGGATGGGACCATGAGCAGCTGCTCCCTGTGAGCCGGGACATGACAGCGAGGCCTGTTCAGGCTGGAAACCAGGCGGCATCTCAGCTCGTGGGGCTGGGCAAGATCTGACCCACTCACAGTGGGGTGGGCGGAGGGTGTGGAGCGCTCATGCTGCTCCTCCGGGCCAGCTGGGAACTGCTCTGGGGACAGAGCGATGTGGTGTTTGTGGCAGGGGCACCGGCTCTGCCTCTGTGTGTCCTTGTGGAGCACCTCCAGCCCCAGCTCACCCCACGTGCAGGGCGAGGGAGCGCAGCTGTCCCCGGTCCCCAGCTGTGACCGCTGTCCCCCCCCGCGATGTTTCCGAGGCTGCTGTGTGCATCCCAAACCCACAGCCTGGAGCCTGTCGGGAAGGCGCTCCGTTGCGACACGCTCCGCCAGCCGCCCTCCTCTCTGGTTTCACTGCGTCCAGCTCCGGAGGAATGTGCCGGGCTGGTTCCCACGGCGGCTGCCGGGGCAGCGCGGCCGCAGCGCTCCCCGCCGGGGCCGCTTGTCCCAGCGGCCACAGCCCGGTGCCACGCGAGCCACGGCCCCCTCCGTCCTCATCCCCAGCCTGGACACAGCCCGAGGTCCCCGCGGAGACGTGGCCCGGCCGAGCGACTCCTGGGGACCTGCCACCACCGCGGGGGAGCGAGGCCGAACGGGAGATGCAGAACGGGAGATGCAGAACGGGAGATGCAGAACGGGAGATGCAGAACGAGCCGTCGCGGACCGGGAATGCCGGCGGCGGCTCTGGACCTTGCCGGTGAGTACAGAACCGGCTCGGTGCGTGTGACGGTCCCGGCCGAGGGCCCGGCCAGGCTGGAAGTGCCACCAGCGCCGCAGCCCGGGGACCTGCCAAGAGCTGGGGACCGATGCTCGGCACGGAGCCACGCCAGAGTAGCTCCCGCCGCACACGCACGGACACCGGGAGGGAGCGCAGGACAGGGGGACACGCAGGTGACGCTCCCAGCTCTGCCCTCCCCGCTGAGGGGCCCGTGGCCCCCCCGCGTCCCCCGGGGCTGCCGCCGGCCGAGGCCCGGCAGGTGCTGCCCCACCGCCCGTGTCCCCCCCGCGCTCCGCTGCGGCACCGGCGGCCCCGGTCCGCTCCGCCCCCGCGCACCGTCACCTTCACGGAGGGCAGCGGGCCCGGGGCTGCGGGAGCGGGCCCGTGCCGCCGTGCGGGGCAGCCCGGGCCGGTCCCACGTCCGCGCCGGCCTTACCATGGCTGCGGCGCCGGGCGCCGTCCGGGAGCGGCGGCTGCCGATGAGCACGGCCGGGCCCCGCCGCGGATTAGCAGAAATAGCAGCGGCGGGGGCGGGGGCGGCCCCGGGGCGGGGCGGGCGGGGGGACGGGCGGGGCGGCCGCTCGGCATCACCGACAGCGGCACCGGGCACCGGCACCGGCATCAGCATCGGCATCAGTGCCCGGCACCGGCATCAGCGGCCGGCACCGCGCACCTGGCACGGGCACCGGCAACGGCACCGGGGCCGAGAATTGTACACCGGGCACCGGGCACCAGCAGCGGGCAGCGGGCAGCGGGCAGCAGGACCAGACACCGCACACCACGCACTGGCACCACGCACTGGGTACCAGCACCGGGCACTGGGCACCAGCATCCATTGGCGTTCGGCTCTGGCATCAATACCTGGCACCGGCCCCAGGCACTCGCTCCAGCAGCTGGCACCGGGCACCGGGGCCGGGCACCGGCTCTGGCTGCTCTCAGTGGGCACCAGGAACCGCACAGTGGTGGTGGCACAGGGCAGGAGCACCAGGCACTGGCTCCAGCATCAGTGCTGGGGCACCAGCACCAGGAACAAGATGCTGCAGCAGGGACAGGGTTCACGGGGTGCAGGGCACCAGTACTGGGCGCTGGGCACTGGCAGGCAGTGGCTGTGAGACCCCAGAGCCCGTCACTGGTGCAGGTGAGAGGGAATGGCCCCTGTGATGGTGAGTGACCTCCTGGCAGTGCCACCAGCACCGGGCATTGCCCTGCAGGTCCCAGGTATTGCACAGGAGGCACTGGGCTCCACACCAGCCACTGGCTCTTGGGAGCACTGGGCACCACTCAGGGGGTGTTAGGTCCTGGGAAAACACCCCAGCACCACACATCCCTCATCACCTGCTGGGCACCAGGGACTGGCAACTGCACTGGCTCACCAAACCCCAGCCTGTCTCCCCCTCCCGAAGGTTTCCGGGGCTGCTGCTGGGCCATGCTGCCCCTGGCTGGTGGGCTGGCAAAGGAACCTGGACACGCGGCTGGCTATGCCCCTGTCCCCATCCCACTCACCCCACCCCATCCCACCCCAGGGATGGCAGCGCCTTCCCGGGATGCCCCCGAGCCCACGTGAGTGGCAGTGGCACGCGGCTGTGTCCCCGTGTCCCCGGGGCAGGGAGGATGCTGGCACCGCGCTCGTGTTCCGGCCGTGAAAGGGGCAGGGGAAGCCTTGGCCGCGGTGGCCGCTCCCCGTGGCGAGCAGCTGGCAGAGCTCAGCCCTCCCCAAACTTCAGTCTCCCGGCCCAGCTGCTCCTCAGGACTGTCCTTGTCCCACCTCAGACTCTCTCCAAGCCAGGGAGCTGGCGAGGTCACATGCGTTCCCTCTCATGGGCTTCTCCTCCCTTGCCTCAGTTTCCCTGCCCATGAAAAACCCCAGTGGTAATTCCCCAGGAGGAAAAGACGGATCCAACCCCAGTCAGGCTCTGACTGAAGTTGTGTGGCTCCACAAGAAGCATCTCAGCCTTGTCCCCAACCTTGTCACTGCCTGGAATCTCTTTCCCGCCGACGTTATAGATCCAGGCTGTGTCCAGATGGCTCCACATTCTCTTTATTCCAATAAATAACCACAACATGCTCAGCAAGGTCTCAGAGAGCACCGGCGGCCACCTCGACCGTGTCCGGGGTCCAGGCAGAGATCCTGCTCTCCCAGCACCTCATCTTGGCTGGCTGGAGGGTCCAGGCAGAGGGCAGGTGGGGGCAGGCAGGGGCAGGCAGGTGAGGGTGGCTGTTTACATCCCTAATCCCCACAGGCAGCGCTTTCCTCCAGGATTACCGGGGATTAGGGGCTCGGGGGCTCCAGGAGCTCAGCCCGGGCTCTCCCTGCCCTTCAAGGAGCGCACTGAGCCCCGCGGGGGCGGGCGGGCACTGCCGGGCTGAGCCGGGCGCTCCCAGCCCGGCACTGCCTCCGTGAGCTGCCTGTTCTCAGCCTGCACAGCCCGCAGCAGCCACCCGCTTGCCACGGCCTCGCTCCGGTAGCCCAGTGCCCATCGAGGCCGGGGAGCTGCAACCTGGGCTTTAGAGAGCATTAAAAGCTGAAGGGATCAGCTGCGGAGCGGGAGAGGACACGGGGGCCGCACGTTCTGTCTGGGAGATGACGCACGGGGAGCGATGGTGATGCCCAGGGAGGGTGGCACGGCTGGAGAGGTCCCCAAGGTCCCCGAGGCACAGCGGGGCTCCTCGGGCCGGCAGCAGCAGATCCCAGGTCCCGGCCCGGCTGGGAAGTCTCCGCTCACTACCGGGGCCCAGAGCTCTATAATTACCATGGGAGGCTGAGTTATTTTGGGAAGCGGCTTTGCTGCTGCCAAAGCTTTTATTCCTCCAAACCAAAACAAGATGGAAAGAGCCCAGCCCAGGATGCTGCATCCGGTGGGCGTGGGGAGCTTAACCTCTTCTCTGCCTGCCCGCTCCCCCTGCCCACACCCGGCATCGGGACAGGCCTGGGGCTCAGGCTGCCCTGCAGGGCTCGAAGGAGGGGCAGGGATGAAGATTTGGGGTCACAGAGACCACAGGGTGTCAGCCAAGCATGGGATGGAGCTGGGGGTCAGTCCTGTCCTCGACTGCTGACAGGTCCAGAGGTCACATGTTTGGATGCTTCCCTGCATCCACCATGAGAACCTTTATTTTTAGCTCTCTCTTGCAAAAGGTCCCGTTCCGGGGCCTTCCCGGCGCTGTGGCTGGGCCGAGGATCACCTTGTGTGTGGGGCAGTGCACCTCGCTGCTGCTCCCAGTGACACATCCCAGGGGACAAAGCCCCAAGGGTCCATCCCCAAAGCCACCAGAGCACAGGCACAAGTTCTGCTCTCCACTCTCCAAAGCAGCCACGCTCCAAGCTGGGAATAAACTCATTTTTCACACTGTGGAAAGGATAAGCCACGACAGGCACCCTACGGTGCTCCCCAAGATCTGCTCCAGCATGGGGATGAGTGGGTTAGGGGGTCTGTGCTCAGGGTGGACCCTGAAAACCTGGGGTGTAACTCCTGCCTTTGGCCTCTTTCCCTTGGTCTGAGCCCAGAAGGGCTGCTCGTGCCTGGGCTGTTCCCTGTGCTTGTTTCACAGGGCAGCCAGTAGCCCCAAACCCACCATCTGGGGTCCCCCAAACCTAAACCCCACGTGCCAGGGTCTTCCAGCTCCCCAAACACAAGCACAGGGGTTCCCTAGACTCACACATCAGGGTCCCACAACTCCCCAGACCTCCCTGGGCTGTCTCTGCAGGGAGCTCTGGCTCAGAGTAGGGAGGTCTGGGGGTTCTGAGGGTCCCCATTGCCCAAGTCCAGGCAGTGCCAGCCCCTCGGAGGGGTTTGGACATGGGAACAGTGTCACAGAGGTGGGGACGGTGCCACAGCCATCCAAACCCATGAGCCCAGGTGTGTTTGGATGGCTGAGACACCCTGCCCACACGAGGTCCCCTCCCCTCCTGGGACTGAACCTTCCCACAGCTCCTCACGTGTCACCACCTCCCAGATCCCTCACAAAGGACTCATCAGTCGATGCTGCCCATCCCTGGTCCTGCCTGGGACCCTGGTGGCACTGGGCAATCACTTACCCATCACTTACCTGCCCCTCTGGAGCCCCACCCAGCAGCTGCGTCAGGGATGTCCCCCTGTGCCCCCAGCTGGCAGAGAGGGGCAGCAAGGCAGACCCACATTCCCAGGGCTGTGTTTATAAATGCCACATCTATAAATTTACAAAAATTGTTGGCAAATGAGGTGGGAACTGTGTCCCATAGGATTTTCTTGCCTTTCTGGAGGATTTGGCCAGCCTCACCTGTCAGGTGACAGAGGACACCAGAGTGGGGACAGGAGCTGCAGTGCCAGCCCTTCTTCACATCCTCATATCCCACAGCCCATTCCAGCTATGGGGGAACTTGAGGCAGACAGGTACTGACCCCCCAGCATTGGCCTCGGAGTTCCACCAGGGTTTTGGGCTTCTGGAGGTTCCCTATGGAGCCACCAGGTGACATGTGTGACCCAAGGAGGTGGCTCCTATCCCAGCCCAGGTGCAGAGGGGAGCTGTGACAGCGACACCAAATCACGGAGGGAGGGCTCAGGCTGCTCCAGGACCACACAGAGCCCCTGTTCCTGAGCCAGAGGGAGGGATCCTGTACCCAGGGGACACAAATGACTCTGGGGACAGGGTCAACCACTGCAGACACCCTGCAGAGCCACGTGCCAGATGCAGGAGGGAGCACCACCAGGATTTTTCCAGTCCAGACTCTGTCTCAAAAGAGGGATAGGCTGAGGTGGAAAGGGTTCCAGAAGATCCCAAATGGATCCCAGATTCCATTGCTTGCATTGGAAAATCCTCATGTGAGATGAGTCTTGCTGTGGCCAGGGATGGGGACCAGAGCCCAGGTCCCCATGCAGCCGGACACCCCAGTGACCTCTCTCCAGCTCCACACATCCCCATGGAGCTCGGTGCCTTGGTGGGATCCCAGGAATCCTTTTCCATCTCCGCACATCCCTGTGGAGGCTGGCTGTCCTGACCGGTCCCCACGCCGGCTACCCCAGCATGAGCACTGTTCCCCGGGGCTGGTTTTACACCGAAGGCAAAGCAGCTCCACGGCACCGATCTGCTGCACGGCTCCGTCACCTGCCTATCACCACCCTGGTGTGCCAGCGGGCACGGCCACCAGGGGGACACAGGGCTTGGGGACCCTGGTGACACAGGCAGGGATGGCACCAGTCCCAGGGCTGCGGGTACCCACAGTGGGGTGGGGACAGCACAAAGGGTGACAACAGCACTGTCCCCACGGGGGTGAGCGAGCTGGTGGGTGCCACCACAGCCGGTGCTACAGCCTCACCCTGGCCAGAGAGACCGTCCCCTCCTGCCTCAGTTTCCCCAGGAGCTCCCAGCCCCCCCGGGGGAGGCGAGCGATTGCCAACAGGCTGGGCAGCGAGCGGGGAAGGATTTATTGACTCACGGCTCGGGGTACATCACAGTTTGAGCTCCCTTCCCGCCTCCGCAGAGGACGTTGCCTTGGACTTCCCGGGCAAAAGTGCACGGAGAGACTTCACAGTTTGATCCCTTTGGGAAAGCAGAACCGAGGCAGTGACAAATGGCAAACGCTACGTTGTATGAAAAAATAATACAAACTCTTCTCTTTAAATATCTTACAGAAAAATGAACCTGAATAAAGAGCATGAAAAGCACCGCGTGGCGCAACCCCCTGGGCCCCCCGGGGCAGGGGGACCGGGATGAGCCGCAGCCCCACGTCCCTCTGGAGCCATCCCAGGGCTGCATAGTCGGGGCTCGGCACGGGCAGCAGAGGCGTGGGGGCAGCAGGGACCCCGTGCCCGTCCCCGCACCACGGGGGCGTCCCCCAGGACCGCTCGCTCGGCCGGGGGTGCCGGCAGGAGCAGCCTGAGGGGCCGGCCGAGGGCGGGGGTGTCGCTACGAGGGTGCCGTGGGGGCCGCGGGGTCCCTCCCGTGCGCAGTGCAAGTTCACCGACAGCCAAGGCACCGCGGCTCTGTCCGGGCAGCCCCGCTGTGCAAAGGGGAGCTGAGCCTTTGGGGTGCGGGCACGGGGACGCTCCCCGCGGTGCCCGGGCTGGTCCCGGCGGTCAGAGCTACAGCGTGGGGGTGCCCAGGGCCATGCGGCCCCGGGGAGAGCCGGCTCCCCGGGGTGGGCAGCAGGGTGGGGGCCCGGGGGTCCAGCCCCGGGCTGGGGCAGCCCCAGGAGCGGCTGGCGGCGGGCACAGCTCCTTCTCCCGTGAGTGCCGGGGGCCGCGGGCCGGGGCTCTACCGCGGGGGCGCGGGCGGGGCCCCCTCCCGCCGGTGCGCCTCCCCGAAGGCTCGGTCCAGCTGCTCCAGCTGCGAGCTCAGCGGCAGGTGGATCTCCAGATGCATGCGCAGCGTCTCCAGCCACTGCTCCAGCTTGGCGAAGGACGGCCTGAGTGACGAGGGGGACACGTGGCAGCTCTGCTGGCTCTGTCCCCGCCCCGTCCCCTGCCCCAGGGACCCCGGGGGTCTCCATCACCCACCGCTTCTCGGCGTCCAGGTCGCAGCAGCAGACGGCGATGGGGAAGAAGCTGGGGGGGCAGGCAGGGGGGCAGTAGCGCTCCAGGAAGCCCCGCACGTTGAGGCCGAAGTCGGTGGTGCGGGGCAGGTAATCGGGGTCGGCGCTCACCCGGCCAATGATCTGCGGGCAGCAGGGCGGGCTCGGCACCAAGGGGAGACCTCAGCCCTGAACCGGGACCCCAAAGCTCCAAGGGGGAGATGTCCAAGCCCCAGGAGGGAGCTCAAACACAATGAAGAAATCCCAACCCCAAGGGAGAGACTCCAGTGGGGAGACCCTTAACCAAAGGGGAGAGGCCCCAACTCCAAGGGTGAGAACTTTAACCTGGAGGGGAACCCAAACACAACGAGGACTCCAAGCCCAAGGGAACAGACTCCAATCCTAAGGTGGAGAGTAAACAACCCAACCCCAAGAGGGACACCCCAACCTTGGGGGCTGACCCCAAACACCATGAGGACCCCGGCCCCCATGGCAGACCCCAGCCCAGGGGCACTTGCCTCGCACAGGACGATGCCGAAGGAGAAGATGTCCACCTTCTCATCGTAGCTCCTCCCTGCAGACACAGGGTCATGTCACACGTCCTGTCCCTGCCCCACCAAGCGTCCCCTGCCTGGGGACAGAGCCCTGGCTGGCCACATTCCCCTCACCATTGATCATCTCGGGGGCCATCCAGTAAGGGTTCCCCACCACCGTGTAGCGTTTCTTGCGGTCCGGTTTCTTCAGGTTCTTGAGATGTTCGGGCTGATTCTTCTCATCCACCATCAGCCGAGCCAGCCCAAAGTCAGCCACCACCACACTCTTGTTCTGGGGGGCACAGGAAGGGGTGAGGCCCGAGGGAGCACCAGGGGACTGAGAGCCCCAGCCAGGCCAGGGGAGGCCAGCACCAAGGTGGGACTCACCTCCCGCACGAGGCAGTTGTGAGAGTTGAGGTCACGGTGGATGATGTTCATGGAGTGGAGGTAGGCCTGTGGGAAGGGTGGGCTGAGAGCAGGGGCACCCCCACGCCGTGGTCCCCCCACCCACCAGTACCTGCCCCATCCACCCATGCCATGGTGGCACCCACCATGCCAGCAGCGATGTCCTTGGCGAAGCTGACCCGCTGGCTCCAGGGGTAGTGGCTGTCCTGGGGGACAGGAGGGGGAATTTGCCAGGGAATGGAAAAGGAAGAGGGGTCCGGTGGTGAGGGACCAAGCTGCCCCCCGCCAGTGCTCACCATGCTCTTGATGAGGCTCCTCAAGGTGCCCCCTTTGATGTACTCTGTGATGAAGTTGAGCCTCTTCTCCTTGTAGAGCACCCCGATGAACTTGAGCACATTGGGGTGCTCCAGGCAGCGCATCACCTTCACCTGCAGGAGACCCCCCCAGCCCCGTCCGTGACACCCCAAGGCTCCCACACCCCCTGGACAGAGCTGCACCCATGGGGCTTGGTCACCCATATCAAGGGGTTGTGCCCAGGTGGGGCCAGGATCAGACAGACCCATCCCTCGTGTCCCCCCAGCCTGGGGGATTAAGGATGGGGACCTCACCTCTTTGAGGAAGGTCCTCTGAGTCTCCTCGTCAAAGCGGATCAGCTCCTTCATCACCATCACCTCGCCCGTCTCCCGATGCGTCACCTGGCCAGGAGCGCAGGGACTCAGCCACCCCCCTCCATCCTGGGGAGCCGAGACCCCCACGCTCGTGCCCCCGTCCCACCTTGATGGCCTGGCCGAAGCAGCCCTTGCCCAGCACCTCTCCGTGGATGAGGTCGGAGGGGCGGAAGATGCGGTGGGTGCGGGACACGACGCGCAGGGACTCGGAGCGCCCGATGTCCTTGCGCTGGGACGCGGGGGAGCCCACGGAGCCCGAGCCCGGGGACTTGTCCGTGCTGCAGCTCCTCCTGCGGGACGGAGGGGCACAGGTGAGCGTGTGGGGGAGCCCAGCGGGAGCAGGGGCAGGGGGTGGCCTTACGTGACAGCACGCTGGCGCGTGGCAGCGGGGTCCCCGCAGGGCACGGGAGCTGGCGAGCGCAGGGGGCTGCACGGGGCGGGCAGGGGGCTGCCCGCCAGCCCTGGCTCCCGGCCCAGGGGCTCGTGGGGGTCATGCTCGATGGTCAGCTGCAGCAGGCGGCTCGTTTCCTGGATCAGCAGGTCGATCTGCAGAAGGAAGTGACGGTGGGGTGGGTTTGGGGACATGGCGGCAGCGGGGCTGGCTGGGGTGTGACGGGGGGACCCTACCTCGTCCAGGGGGACGTGGCCAATGGGGGTCCCGTTGATCTCCAGGATGCGGTCACCAACGTGGATGGAGTTCTTCATGTCAGGGCTGATGCAGTCCGGGTCCACCCTGGGGACAGTGGGGTCAGACCCCCGACATTGTCACCATCAGGGGGGTGTGCTGGGACACTCCCAACAGGTGTGTCAGACCCCACTGCCACCCTCCGTCATGGACAGGGACATGATGGCACAGTCTCCACAAGCCACCCCAACCACACAGGGACACACAGGGACACACAGGGACACACAGGGACACACAGGGACACACAGCCTACTGGCAAACCAGGCAATGCCAGCATGGGACACACCAGCACAGCCCCCACAAACCGCCTGCAGTGCCACCACGGTCCCAACAGGCCACCCCAGGACAATGGGGACAACCCAGCCCCACCGCTCCTCCTCCCACCCCTAAAGGGTCCGTGGGACGGATCCCAGGGGCAGAAGGGGCACGGGATGTCCCAGCCCTGGGGAGGGGACAGCAGCAGAGGGGACAGGGACGCACTCTCGGACGCGCACGGTGCGGGGATGCTCGCTGCCGCAGCCCTGGTCGATGGAGACGGAGAAGCCGCGCTTGCCGTCGGAGCAGGCGGGGATGGACACGAGGGTGACGGTGTGAGGGATGCGGGAGGCCGGCGAGTCGGGCAGGATCTGCTCGATCACCGGGGTCACCACCATCTGGTAGTAGCAGTGGCCGCTGTGGGGAGCGGAGCAGGAGGTGGGTGGGGGTACCGGGGGACGTGTCCCCCCAGCCCCCCAGAGCTGACGTACCAGTAGAGCTTGGAGCGCTCCACCAGCGCGTAGGTGTCCCCGTCCCCGATGAAGGCGCGGCAGTTGAGGCAGCTGAAGCACTCGGGGTGGTACTTCTGCTCCCCAGCCACCTGTGGGCAATGCCATCAGCCCCAGGACCCCCTGTCCGAGCACCGAGGGCAGGGCCGGGGCTTGGAAGGGGCTGGGAGCACCCACGGGTGCACCGGGGCCGTGGGAAGGGCAGGCAGAGCCATGGGATGGTGGGGACAGAAGTGCCACCAAACCGGGGGTGGCTGTAAAAACACCTCCCACCACCCTGAGCTTCTGCCCTGCATCCCCCAACCCCCACACGGCTCTCCAGGGTCCCCTAAAATGTAGAGGACAGCCCTGCCACACCCAGTGGTGCTGGAGGTCTGCACCCCTTCCCCACCTCCCCTGCTCCCCAGGAGCTCAGCCATGGGACAAGGCTCCGTGTCCCACCCCTGGGGACCCCGTGGTGCTCACCATGACCAGCCCCTTGGTGATCTGCTCGGAGCAGCCATGGCACAGCTCCCCAAAGCGTGCCCAGTAATCCTTCTTGCAGTACAGGCGCCCATCCTTCTCATAGTACTGGTGGGACAGGGAGGCCCCGCACTCACAGCACCTGTGGCAGCAACCAGGAGCCCCTTGTCACCTCGTCCCCACTGTCACCCCGGGCCACAACCAGCGCTCACCCACTCCACAGCTCTCTGGGCAAGCTGCTTCCCCCACTTCCTCCGCAGCTGCAGGGCCACTGCACCAATTGTCACCAGTCCCAGGGTGACAGCAGGTGATTCTGGGGGTGACAGTGCAGGGTGGGGCTGCAGGGACATTTGGGGACGCTGGGGTGGACAGAGGAGGGGACGTGGGGCAGGGAGAGGCACGAGGAGGGATGTGCCAGCCCTGCATGGATGTGGCAGCCTGGACAATGACACACAGAGCGATGCAGCAGACTGGTGACAGACATGCCACCCCGGTAACAGATGTGCCAGCCTGGCACAGACTCACAGAGGGATGAGACAGGCTGGTCACAAGTGTGGGTGGCAGCCTGGTCATGGATAGAGGGACATCCCACCCTGGTGACAGACACACAGACACATGTCCCTCTATCCATGACTAGGGTGACATGCTAGCCTGGTCACAGGTCTGTCACCCTGCTCACAGATGTGACAGCCTGCTCATGTTCAAGAGGAACATGTCACCCTAACCACGGACAGAGGGATGTCCCACCCTGGTCACAAACACACAGAGAGATGTCCCACCCTGGTGACAGATGTGCCAGCCTGGTCAGGGACGTGCCAGCCTTGGGACGATCCACAAGGGGCACTGGGGCTGGGGGAGGCTTGGAGGCTGCTGGAGGGTGGCAGGGGGTGCAGAGGTGCCTGCCAGTTTTGGGGTACAGCAGCAGGGGTGCACATCAGACTGTGCAGGGGGGCTCAGAAGGGATTTGTGTGGGGTGTGGGAGTGGCTGGGGGTGCAGAAAGGGGCTACAGAGGATTTTCTATATGGGACTGCAGGGGATGCTGTGGGAGGGGTGCAGGGGGCTGCAAGGGGGGCGATCCTCTTGGGGAGGGGTTGAAGGGGTGCAAGGGGAGCTGTAGGGGATCTCCTGTAGGGGATTTGCAGTACGGGGATGCTGTAGGGTGCAGGGTTGCTGCAGGACACTCTGCAGGGTGTCCCCACGGGGTGCCCGGGGACTGTCGCAGTCCCCACCCGCCCCCGGCCATGCAGGTGGAATACCAACCAGCGGTGACGTCACGGCGCGGAGTTTCCCCACCCCATGACGTCACCGCGCGAGGACTCCCCCACCCCATGGCGAAGCACAAAACCTCCCTTGGGCTGGGGGCGGGGGAGGAAAGGAGGAGGAGGAGGGGGAGGAAGAGCAGCAGGGAAGAAGGAGAGAGAAAAGGAGGGGAAACAGAGGACAAGGGAAGGGGAGGGGGAGAAGAGGAGGAAGAACAGGAGCAGGAGGGATTTCTGCGAGCCCAGCGCCGCCGGAAGCCGCTCACCCATGGGGGGACCGGATCCAGCTGTGGCCCTGCAGCGGCTTCGCTCTGGCTGACGGCCCAAAGAGGGGGAGCCAAGCATGGGGGACACAGGCTGAGCCCCCCGGGGCTCCCTGGGCTGCAGAGCCCACCCTGACCCGCTCCCTCGTCAATCCCATTCCCACTGACCTGGCTCCGGTGCTCAGGACGCGGCTCTTCCTCAGCACCGCCGCCAGCATCCTCCTCCACCAGACAGGGACACACCCCGGGGACAAGCCTGGGCACCCCCAGCCCCCACCCCTGTGCCCCCCGAGCCAGGCCCTTTCTCCTCCTGCTTGGGGCTCCAACGACTGGAGCTGCCGGGAGGGCTCAAGTGAAAGAGGAAACGGAGGGAGGGGGGCGGGTGACATCAGCCACACGCACCCCGTCACCCAGCAGGAGGGGACAGCGAGGGACAGGCAGCAGATCCCTGTGCCAGGCCTGGCCTCAGCTGGGGCACCCCCAGGGGTGCCAGGAGCCACAGCCACGCTCCAGTGAGTGACACCGTAATGGCCTGATGCGTGTCCCTGCCATGGGCAGAGTGGGAGGGAGCACTGTCCCTGTCCCTGCAGAGCATCCCGATGTCCCTGATGCCATCCCGGTGTCCCCGAGGCCATCCCGGTGTCCCCGAGGCCATCCCGGTGTCCCCGCTGTCCCTCGGCAGGTCCCACCTGAAGCAGTCAGCGTGCCAGTCAGCCTTCAGTGCCTGCAGGTACTGCCCATCGTAGATGCCCTGCCCGCAGCTCGCACACACTGGCAGGTCGGTCCCTGCAGCCAGGGGAACACGAGGGGACAGGGCTGTCACCCCAGCCAGCCCCGGCCACCCACAGCAGCAGCCAGGATTAAATCTCTCTGCCCGGGGTGGTGAATTCCATCCCCCAGCCATTGATCCCACAGCGGGTCAAGGTCGTGGCACCCATGGCTCCAGGGCTGGCACCATGGGGGCACAGGGTGGGTGCAGGATGGGGGCAGAGGGGCAGGGAGGGTGAAGAGGGGTGGGATGGGTGCCCCAAGGGATCCAGGGAGGATGGCAGGCTGTGGGATGGGTGCTGGGTGCATGGAGGGACGGCAGGATGAGTACTGGGGGGTCCTGGGGGATGAATGGGGGACACACAGAGGGGTGCAGGGTGGCTGCAGAGATCCTGGGGGTGCAGGAGGGATACATGGGCTGTGCAGGGGGAGATAGGGAGGTGTGAGGATGCAGGGGGGATGTGGAGGTGCAGGAAGGGATGCAGGAAGGGATGCAGGCAGGGATGCAGGCAGGGATGCAGGAAGGGATGCAGGCAGGGATGCAGGCAGGGATGCAGGCAGGAATGCAGGAAGGGATGCAGGCAGGGATGCAGGAAGGGATGCAGGCAGGGATGCAGGAAGGGATGCACAGAGGAAAAGTTCTTGACAAGGAGGACGGAGGAGATTTGGGGGTGCAGTGTGGAATGCAGGCTGGGTGGCAGTACAAGGGTGGGGGGAATGGAGGCTGAATTAGGGGTACAGGGAAGATGTGGGGGTGCAGAGGAGGATGCAGGGGCACGGGGACAGTGGGAAGGATGAGGCTGGCTGGGGGATGCGGGGCAGGATGCGGGGGGCTGCAGGCCGGCAGGAGGCTCCGCACGAACCGGGCTGGGGGGTCCCGGGGCCCGAGCGGCGGCGGAAGCGCTGAGTCAGGCGGGGGGGCTCGGGGGGTCACGCACCTTCGTCCTCTCCCATAGGCTCGTCCCTCCAGGTGCAGCACAGCAGCATCAACCTCATGCAGGCTCGCTGGCCGGCGGCGCGCCGGGCCGGGCCTGTGGCGGTGCTGCTGGCGGTCCCCGAGCGGCCGCAGCCCCGGTCGGGCCCCCCCGGCCCTGCCGCTGCCGCTGCGGCTCCGGGCGGGACCGCGGCGCCTCCACCGCGCCTGCGCGGCCTCGGGGGGCGGGGCCTCGGGGGCACGGGGCGGGGCCAGCGCGGGTGGGGCACGGGCGTGGTCGGTGCGGTGGGCGGGGCCAGCAGGGCGCGGTCGGGGCCGGGGGCGAGGTTCAGGGGGCACGATCGGCCCGGGGGGATGCGGAGCTCACGGGACGATGGGGCCGTGCTCACCGTCCCCTGACCAGCACGGGTGTCCCCACACAGCTTGGTGACCCCACACAGCTTGGTGTCCCCAGCTACGCCAGGCCAGCCCCAGGGGCAGGGTGTGTCGCCACATCCACACCCACTACACATCCATCACGTGTGTACCCCACCGTGGTCAGGCACAGGTGTCCTCATTCGCCCTGGGGTGTCACCATCAGTGTCCCTCTCATTCCACACGTTGTCACCACGAGATAGAGCATGGACATCTCCCTGCATCCCCAGGCCACCACCATTGTGAGGGCATGGACCTCATCCTGGGTCCCTGGCCTGTCACTGTGGGACAGGGTGTGGATGTCCTCCTCATTCCCCACACTGTTTCCATGGGACAGCACATGGATGTCACCCCCTGGGCTGTCACCAAGGGCAGGCACAGCCCCGTTGGTCCTTAAGCTGTCACAGGGTCACAAGGCACGAACATCTTCCTGCACCCCCAGGCCCCACTGTGAGTCAGAGCAGAGACCTTTCCCAAGCCTGTCACACTGGGACAGGACAGAGATGTCCCCGACACCTCAGGCCAGGGCACAGACCTCCCTCTGGGACCCTGGGTTGTGACTGTGGGAAAAGGCATGGGTAACCCCTAGGGTCCCCGGCTGTCCCCCCACCCCTCCCGTGTGTCCCAGGGATGTGACCATGCAGCGGGACAAGTGACATCCTTGAAGCAAGGACCCAAGTTTCCAGGCTTGTGCAGTGCCACGGGGTGGGGTGCATTATACCCCTGCATTATTACCACCACCACCACGGGGAGGGGTCAGGGACACGGGACACAGGATGGAGCCAGAATCCTTTAAAAACTTGTCCTTTATTAGTCTGTCAGAAGCGAGTCCCTCTGTATAGGGCGTCCCACCCAGTTATAGCAAAGTGAGCAACGTGAAGGGACCGCGCCCCTCCTGCCCGCGGCCCCCCCAGACCGGGGGGAGCGCGGGGACCGGGGTGGGGGCCAGGCTGCCGGGGCCATCCCTACCCGCACAGCCCCCGCCGCCGGCATCCCCTTCCCTCCCTCCCTCCCTCCGCCCGTCCCTCCGATGCGGGGTGCCCCTCATCCTGTGTGCCCCCCGGGGGTCAGCGCTGGGGCTTCGGAGGGGCCCCCCAAATCCCGCAGAGAGCGATAGCACCAAGGGGGACGGCTGCTCCCCGCACTTTATTCCGCGCTCCCTGCCGGGACCGAGGGCCGGGGGGCCCCGGACGCTGCCGGGGAACGCGGGGTCCCTCCGTGGAACGCGGGGCCGGGCACGGCCCCGGCATGGACGGGGGGGGTTCCGGGGCCTGAGGAGGGGGTGTCTCAGCTTTGCTTCGGATTTACATTCTGGACCATGCAGTAGCACCAAAGTTCATGAGGTGATCGGTGACGGAGCGTTACTTCCGCTTCCTCCCGCAGTACTTCCCTGCCGCGCAGCCCGCTCCGCCTGCACGGAACGCGGGGTGAGCCCTGCCCGCACCCCGCACGGCCGGGGGCACGGCCGGGGGCACGGCCGGGGGGCACACTGGCCCTGCCAGCCGGGAAACGCGCTCACCTCTAAAGCCCAGGGCACCCAGGGCTCCTCCGTAGGGCTTGGGGGGCTTCCCTGCAGGGGGAATGAGCAGGAATGAGCAGGACCCGCGCACCCCCACCCCAAAACGCCGTGCCGGGGGGAATGGATACTCACCGCCAAATCCCAGGCCGCCGACCCCACCTGAAACGAGAGCGAAGCCCTCAGCACGCACGAGGCACCCCAATTTGTCTGTCCCAAATCCCCCAGCCCCGGGGGTCCCTCCCTGGCCCCGGGGGTCCCTCCCCGGCCCCGGGGGTCTCTCCCCGGCCCGTGCCCCGTGAACCGGCCAGGTCCCGGCACAGGTCCCGGCTGTGCGCTGAGGTGCCGAGCTGGGGGTGGTACCTGGAAATATCGGTGATACGCCGAAGCCGGGAACTCCAACCCCTGGGGAAAAAGCAACAGCCGGTGACAGCCGGTGACAGCAGTGCCACCCTAACGTGGAACGGGGACAGCTCGGCTGGGATCCCTCGCTTACTCCAGGGACAGGCGCTGATGCAAAAGCTGCCGTCCCACCCTGGCACCCCTCTGGCTTCCCAGCGCTCTCCCAGGCAGCCGTGTGCCAGCAGGGAATGGCAGCAAGCGGGGACCGGTGTGGCAGGGTAGGGGACACGCTCCCACACCAGCCCCAAACTGCAGCACTCACCTGGCTGCAGCCCCCCAGCACCAAAAGCTGCAGGTGGGTGAGCCTCAGTGAGGGTGGGGAGCGTGAGCACAGCCATGGGAACGTGGATGGGAGCAGGGGCTGGAGTCACTCGTCCAGCCCCTCTGGCTGTCCCTTACCTGGCTTGGGAGGTTTCCCAGCGGCTCCTGGATACAAGAGTGCTGTGTCAGAGTGTGGTACCAGTGCAGCCCCAGGGCCACAGCCAGACCCTTCAGGAGGGGCCCGGAGCGTCCCAGGAGGGACCTGAATCTCCACACACTGGGGACATGGTACTGTACCATCCCCTGTTCCCATGGCATGGGCAAGGCTGGTGCTGTGGCCCTCAGTCCCTGCCCAGCAATGGCAATCCCTGGGAACTCGGCAGGTGGCAAACAGGACAGGGCACAAGGTAAGGAGTGGGGTGGGATTGTACTGTGAGACTGGGAGGGGACAGAAGTGACCCACAGACTCCCTTTGCTTTCCATCGCTCTGCCAGCTCTCCACTGCTGCTGCTGCTCCCTGCAGCTCAGCCCTGGCACCCAGAACCAGCATCACTCACCGAGGCCACCAGCTCCGAGCCCACCGACTCCTAGGCCACCTACAAGGAGTAGCCCGGGTAAGCACCAGCAGGGACAGACAGTGGGGCAGTGTCTGCTCCGCTCCTCACCCAGTCCCAAGTGTGCCCGTCCTCCCTGGGGCACCCCGCTCTCCCTGTGCCCAGAGGAAGCATTCCTCCAGCTCCACCCCCCTAGGGAAGCATTCCTCTGCCTGCACATCCCCACTGCCAGCACTCACCTGGGAGGCCACCAACTCCTGGGACTCCAACCCCAGGAACACCTGCCAGAGAGACACCATTAACACCTGTCCCCCCACAGCCTGTCCCCCCCAGCCCAGAGCACCCCCCCACCACCGCCCAACCTGCCGGGCTGGCCTTGCCTCCCATGCTGGGAGTCCCCAGCACCCATCTCGCAGCACCCAGAGGGGCTTCAGCCCCTGCGTGACTCATGAAGGGGAAAACTGTCCCCAGCAAGTCCAGGGCAGGGGTACAGGTGGCACTTTGCATCCATGGGTGACAGCACACCACTTCCCACGCCTTGGGGCCATCGGGGCGCCGTGGGCACACAGGGGACAGGAGGAGAGGTCAGCACCCCGAAGGCCACAGGAGGAGAGTGCCCGGGGACAGTCCGAGGTGGCCCTGGGGCAGGGGCACGGCAGGGGTACGTACCGAATTTGGGAGGTTTAGCACCAGGCTGCACCCCTACTTGGGGGATGCCTGCAAAGGGAGCGAGGACACCGCAGTTAGGACAGTCACCCCCACACCACGCTCATGTGCCACCGCCCTCCATTCCACACACATCCCTCCCTGCCACCCCTTCATGTGGCTTTTAGCATTCCCAGCCACCACTGTCCCCAAGCAGCGGGGGACAAAGCGTTGTACCTGCCCCGGGAAGGATGCCAGTTCCAGGTACTCCCACCCCTGGCACCAAGCCGGGCACGCCACCAACGCCGGGGGTCACTCCGGGCACTCCGCCCACACCGGGCACCCCTCCAACCCCAGCACCTGCAGAGAGAGGGGTGAGGCAGCAGGTGTGATCCCCGTGCTCGTGTGGGATGATGTGCCAGGCCCGGGTGCCCATCCCCTGCACAGGTCAATGCCTCTCCAGGGCTGGCAGGGAGACTGAGACCCAGGCTGACTCACCAAATTTGGCTGCCTTGGCTGCTGCTTTGGCTGCTGCTGCTGGACCTCCAACACCTGGGCAGAGACAGCAAGGGGAGATCAGCGACCCTGGGGAGGCCTCACAACAAACCTGGGCAGAGCCATCCCTCAGGCCTTGTCTGCATCCCCCCAGGGGAGACTGCTGAGCTTCTCCTCGAGCCTGTCCTGCTCCCCAGGGCTGCCCCCACACCAGCCAGGCTGCCCCCACCCTTGCCTTCCTCCTCCTCACCTGGGACACCTCCAACACCGGGAACCAGGCCACCTACTCCAGGAACCAGGCCACCCACGCCGGGAGCCAGGCCACCCACGCCGGGAGCCAGGCCACCTGCTCCTGCAAGGAGAAACAGAAGGGCTGGGGCTTCAGCTCAGGAGGAAAAGTGGTAGAAGGAGTTGGATGAGAAGGCATGGCAGGCCGTGGGGGCAGGGGGGAGGTGTGTGGATGGATTATGAGATGGGTATCCGGCTGGATGAGAAGTGGTTGAAATGATGGTAGGATGGTGAGATGGCTGGATGGATGGTGAGATGGATACGTGGATGGAGGGGTGGTGAGGTGGACAGATGGATGGAGGGGTGGTGAGGTGGACAGATGGATGGAGAGGTGGTGAGATGGACGGATGGATGGAGAGGTGGTGAGATGGATATATGGATACGTGGATGGGTGTGTGGATGGATGTGGAGTGACTGAATAGATGAATGGAGGAGGAACAGATGGATGGACAGAGGAGGGGACAGATGGACACTGAGGAGGTGGTGGTGGTGGTGTGGCTGGCTGGGCAGAACGGGGTGCAGATGAACCAATGTACGACGTGGTGTTTGGATGGTGAACTTGGACGCTCCGCGAGGCTCAGCTCTCTGAGAGCAGCCATTACCCAGCCAGAACCTCATCCCACATTCAGCCCTTCGGGGACCCCATCCCTCACCCCAAGGAGCCCAGGCACTGCTGGGCCTCAGCGCTGGCAGGGGAGTGGGGTGGGGATGGCCAGGAGACAGGACATGAGGCACAACCCCAGAGACATCCCAGCTTACCGTACTTGGCTGCTTTGGCGGCTGCTTTGGCAGCGGCTGCCGGACCTCCTGGGGGACAGGGAGTGACAGGGTCAGGAATGCGTGTGGCCAGCACTGCTGGGGACATCCGAGCATCCCTTGGGCACCATCTCACCTGGAACACCGATCCCGGGCACCAAACCGGGCACGCCAGCACCAGGCACACCCACTCCAGGCACACCCACTCCAGGCACACCCACTCCAGGAACACCAACGCCGGGCACGCCAACGCCGGGCACGCCAACGCCGGGCACGCGTCCTGCTCCTGCAGAGAGGTTCAGGGATGTGTCCCAGGGGACAGACTGTACAGCAGGAATCCCACTGACCTCCACAG